CAGAATATATGCCAGAAAGCATGTCAGATAGAACGTCAGAGTATGTGCCCGAAAGAATGTCAAATGGAATGTCAGAGTAAATGCCAGAAAGAATATCAATAGGGCGTCAGTCAGAAATAAATAGATATAAATAAATATATCCAAAAACAATGTAATATAAATACGATAGATAGATAGATAGATAGGTAGATAGGTAGATAGATAGATAGATATACAGTATCCAGATGGTATGTCAGATACTATGTCAGGGGGGGATCACTCGAAGAAAGTAATTTGGTTGTCTTGTCTGGTGGGAAACAGCGGAAAGGTGCTGACAGAGAAATTGCAAATTTTGCCAAAGAATCCTGGGAACATGCATGGGACAGAGATTCAGCTGGAGATCGCTAGGTTCCTCGGCGCAACCGAAGTGGGCAACTCAAGCAGTTCGTTTTTTTAGATATTGGCACATACCATGCACCTCCAATTTACATTTTGATCAGTCCATGTGAGCCCAGTGACTTTTTTCAAGCCTTCAGCCAGCGCAGTGAAGGCTGGAACTTGCCAAGTCCGCGGTCTACGGACTGATTGCCAAGTTGGACGAAAAAGACCTTGAGCCTGCGATTCCTTTTTTGAAATATGTTGCGGTGCCAAAAGGTGGGAAGCGCAAAAATGCCAATGCTGCTGATGCTGCACATGGACAAGAGCAAGAGCCCAGGGAGCAATTGGGATACAGCGCTGCTGTGTCGTCACGTAAGGCATCGATGAAAACGCAAGGGCTTGCACACCGCTCCTCTCGTGATGTCCGCGGAAGAGAAAAAAGCTGACAAGGAGCTTTACAAAAACTCCTGATGGGTGCAAAGCACCTCTTGCGCTAGGTTGCCCCAGATTGTGCACATTCCAGTCTAGGGTCCGGAGTTTCAACATCCATTCTCATCTTTATTGCCTCTCCGACTCACTTCCGACAGGAGTGTCAGTGTCAGAGTCATCATACACGTGAGTCAATGCCAGGGGAAATTTTGTCTTTGAGAGATCAACAAAATAAAATGATATATTTGTCTTCTAACTTGTTCGATTTCAGCAAACTTGAACATTGCTTGGTTGTGTATTTTTATGCTCTCTATTTGTGATTCGTTGCGCTCCTGGTTTGGCACGCGGTCGAGATTGTACATTATTGGCCCCGCAGCCTCTACCAATGGTGTGCATGATAGCGCGCATGTCATGCAAAGTATCAGCATTAAATAACACACAAAAATTTACACACTCATGCTCTACTGTTGCGTCCTATGGCTCCGCATCTCAGTGTGCGCGTGTTGTTCGTGGCTTGCAACTGCAGGCTTGAATTGGGCTTTTCTGGGCATCTTCCGTTCCTTAGAAAGGAGCTTCTTGCTGCGTTGTCAGCGATCCTGCTTTAATACTGCAAGTGTTTTATGCTTCGCACGTCGCTAGATTTTAAAGACAGTTTTGACATATTGCAAAGGCCATAGAATTCAAGTCAGCAAGCGATACACTTGAAAGTATTGAGATCGCATTGCGCAGCACCTCGAAACATCGAAACAGCTACAAGCACAGCTGGCACAGCGGCTTACAAAAAATGAGCCGACCGGTTGTGTCATCTCACCGGGCCACTCAATACGATTTTTTGCTTTGATCAGACCTGCATTGGTTCCCTGACATTTTGCTGTTGTATCCATGGGTCCGTCAGACATGTGGTTTATATACGTTTTTCAATTGTCAGTTTAAGTTTGCATTGCAACCTGTGCTGCCTAGGTCCGACTGCTTGAATCTGAATCTGCTGCGCACGCAACGGGCTCGCATGAGTTGGAAAATGGATAAGCGCAGGCCTTTCTGGGCAGTTTGAACACCACTGCGCACCATCATTTTTCCCGAAGCAAAAAAAATGAAACCAAGATCCGTGCCCCTTTTATCATTTAAACCTGAGAAACCTAAAGCCCGCATATCGGTAACATAGTTTTTTACTTTTTTTCCAAGGATTGATCAAATCGGGGGAGCAATGTTTCAAGCGCACAAAAACGCCAAGAGGTGTCTGTGACCGCGCTTCATGGCGCCCAGGGGTGCTTCAAGAAAAGGGCCGTTTCGCACGTCCCTATTTAACAACTATGGTTTATGGTAGATATATCTATACTCACTATGGTTTATAAACCAACTTGCAACTGGGGGCACCACCTTATGAGATATGTTGTTTTAATTTCACATGTAACCACCATGGATCAATGATTTAGCCATTTTATAAACCACAATGGATATGAAAAAGGCAAACATATGGAATTTACGGGTGTTTTATTGAATGGGATTTAAGCACCCATGGGGAGAAATTGTGTTTAATGGTGGTGTAGCCAACTATGAGGAGAATGAATGGAAATAATCCCATCCCCCTAATATCAAGCATCCCCATTCCATGGTTCCACATATATGAGCATGTTGATGTTTATGGTATATTTATTCATCATTTTGTTTATTCCTAGGTTTTTGTCCATACTGATTTGCATATCAATGCAGAAATAAAACAAACATATAGTAGTAGCAAGAACGCTCGTTATCCAGGAGATCAATGCTAGAAGTAGTTCTTACTACAAACAATCTTAAGATTATCAATAATGACTATCGCTGATTGGCAAACATGTTCCATATGTTGATCAATTGCTGCATGAATATCATATCTTATGATTCTCATTTAGAATGTGATGGATCAACGATAATGACATGGTGACCATGGTGAAAAAGGCAAGGACCTGGGCCATTGAACTGGAGGATTTTTTTGGTAGCACGATTTAGCCAGCAAAAACGATGGTATAAAGCCAAGCAGTTTATAGGAAAATAATGAATGCAATGTCGTACGGCTGCAATGGAGGTTCATTGTCATGATATGTCATGATATATAATAAATATATATATAAATATATATATATATATATGATTGTTCCGTTGTGTGGACCCCAACATCATCTGATCGGTCAGTGTGTTCATAGGGAAGCCACTGGTGAAAAGGAACAGCTGGGGTGTCACCCTATTGAGAAGCACAAATGGTGATGGTTCGTAGAATTACTTAGATGGGCTAGAGAGTTACTAATTGGCACAGGGAATTATATAAGTTGATAATTATACCGGTTGGTGGTTTGGAACATTTTGCCATATATTGAGAATAATGATCCCAATTGGCTTTCATATTTTTCAGAGGGGTAGGTTTACCACCAACCAGATTTAAGTAGAGTTGTAACAAATCGTCTCATGGTTCTTTGTCATACCCTCGCTAAAGTCGGTGCCCTCCCATAAATTGTGGAAAATCCACCCAGAATGCAAATCACTAAAACCGAAGGGTTTCCCCATGGGTTTTCCACAATGTAAACGTTTAATCTAGGGTATTCTATTAAATCCCATATAATCCTTACTAAATTATGATTCCGGTTAAATCCCTACTAAATCATCATTGATTAGGTAATTGTATACATTGACACGGGTCAAGGGTAGGACACCAGTGGACCAAGAGTCCATCTATTGGGGGGCCACTGGCATTGACTACCCAAAAAGATGGTCAACAATCCTGGGAGAAATCTGCCAAGAAATCTACAGGGTGAAGTCTCCGAGCTAGATGTTGGTTTCTAAAACCCCATTGAGTATAGTTATAGCTTAACAGTTGGTTTGTATATCCTAGTCAACCAAGTTGTGTGCGTCAACTTAAGTGTTTTGGGGGGCCTCACCTTGTACTACTTTTTTTTTTCCTGATATTGGGTACACCCTCAAAGTGCGGCATGAGGCATTTGGTAGCTCATCCCCCTTACAAGGTGACGGGGGTACCGGGTAAACTAAACGTAGCCGCTAATTAGAACCAGATATGGCCAGCAAAATAAAATGAAGGAATTTACTAAGTATTTGCAAGGTGGCACACCATACTTTGCCAAGTTTGTTGATAGAAATATCTAGGCTAACTGTTTTTTTTGTGAGCACAACTAAACTTGACCAGGTTATAAGTTGGTTTACGAACTTTATTTACTATATATTTATATAGATATTGGTTGTGTCTGAAATTGCAGTATGCGCTCAACAATGCCAGTTTTGGGAAAATGGTGATCCATCAGAATGGGCTTTGGCGTGGAAGCCGTCTGTGCAGTGCAATCTTTGCATCGGAGAACCGGATGGGCGGCCTTGAAGGTGGTCACTTTTCTCAAGGGTGGCCCCCCGAACCTTGGATGAAATGATGCTAGTTCTTAAGCGAACTGCCACTTGGCCACTTTCCACTTGCAATGCAGCTTATCTCGGCTAGGGGTTGGTGGCATTCATTGTCTGCATCTACGATCTGGACATATGTCCAGTCACTGGCACCTTGGATTTCACAGTCTTCTCTGACACTCTCAGGACAGGCGAGCTGTGGACTGACAGTGGATTTTGGGTTTGTTCCCCAAAAATTTCAGAGAAACACATTTGCATCCCCAAAATTGTCGCCAAACATGTGTTCAATTTACCATTCAATCCCGACTATTTACAGATACTAGATACTATAAAAGTTGGTTTGTAACCGCCTTGAACTATATATAGATATATCTGGATAAGTTATGACAACCTCACTGTTCTTCCTCACTGTAATGACGCTTAATAAGGGAAATCACCCCAAAGTAGCCTTATTCAGATAAGTGAATTAGTTTAATTCATCATATTTCATCCAGATATATCACAATTCAACCCCATCATCCAGATATACCACAGACCCTAGTTATGTAGTTAATATATGTGTATAGGTGTTTATGACAAGCATGTTAGGCAAAGCTTACCCATAATACACGTGTAGTCACTACACAGTTTTACCTATCACAAACCTTTACCAGTTAGAAGTCAGTTGATAAGTCGCCCCATTTATGGAATGAAAACCCTATAGAAATGACCGTTTGTATGTAGTATGTATATATGTATGTAGACATTTATATATAGTTCATCCAGATTCATCCAGGTATTTCTATCATAAACCCTAGTTCTGCTAGGTTTTATTTCCCCCAAAGTGATGGTCTCAGGATTGGGCACGGAGTGAGATCCAGAAGACCTTCGGGTGCGCCACCCACTGGCCTGGGACACGGGTTAAACATAGCCTTCAGTAATATTGTTTGACATAGCTATGTATATATGTACCCTCTGGTTATTTAACATAACTATGGGAAAATAACCATCCTAAATGGAGGTTTCCAGCTGGGAACATCATCTGTAAATGGGCCATCTATACCATAGATATGTTAAATGAACAGATGGTATATATATAAATATATATGTTAAACATATGGAAAACAACATGTTTTGTCATAGCTATGGTAAATTACGTGCTATTTATAACATATCATATGATTAATAATGTGTATATGTATTTATGTAATATGGAAAACTGCTCGTTTATACTTAATTTACATTGGTTTACCTATTGAAAATGGTGATTTTCAATAGCTCTATGAAACTACCCCGGCGTAATAAAAAGCATTGTCACTTGGAACTTCATCGAAACTTGGGGTCATAAAAGCATCATGATGTCCCAATTGGGATCGACTTAGAACTTGGAGTTTCATTGGCAGTTGAACCCCGCCATTTCCTGGCATTGGACTCACAACTGACGGAATTTCACTGGCACAACTGGTGAAATAGTATCCGGGGTAAAATTCCTATCAGAACTGACCCATTCTCAGCTGGTTAGGCATTGGCATGGCTGCAACACCGAACACGTTGTGATTGTTGCGGGCGTGGGAGGAGGTATTCCCCTGTACAAGCTGTGAATGTATAAATGGATGCATGTATGTCTGTCGGTCTGATTGAAGGTATTTATGTTTAAATTTTAAACAAAAATATGTAGAAGTTATGTACATACACTCATACCTCTAGAGCTCGAAGTGCCTTCTAATTAAGACATGGACCTTCCCCCCAGCGAAATGAAAAAGACACGTCATAAAACTTAAACCAATCATGGAAGAATGCTATATCAATAGCAATGTGTCCAGCCCCGAGGCACTATGCATCCTTGGCGGATCCCTTAAACCGAACCAGCTTGACCTCACAGAAGTGCCTCGGCCGCAGCCTATGGCTGGCGCATGCTGGGTCCTTAAAGAGCTGGCAAGACTGGATGAAGATGGGAGACATCTACAGTTATGGCCCGAAATACCAGTTATAAGTCAGTTGTAACCCCATTTATAGAATGTATAATCCCATTGAAATAACCAGTTGTAACTAATAGCCGTGGCCTTAACTGTAAAAACATCAAATCTATAAACATCTATTAGCAATGAAGATGTTCCATTCGAAACATCTAAGTTTTTACTGTATTTGAATGGAACATCTTCATTACCAATAAGCCCACAAGATGCTCTAATAGACGTCATCTAGCTGGCGAAATTGAATGAACACTACGAATAACAATGAGTTGGGCAATCTTGGAACATCCTAGATGAATTGGAAAATATTGTGTTTGACAAGTTAAATTGATTGGCGAGTCAAAGTTAGGAGGATCATTTCAATCATGTCTAGGATACTAAAAACTATTCTGTCAGCAGATGGTGAGACTTCAAGGTAACTCGGAATTGGAAGTGCCAACAATCAATGTGCCGATCATGCTGTCAGCGCGTCCTGAGAGAGCGGTCTGAAAGTGCCCAAACAGGAGATTTCAGATGGCCTGTTCTTCACCATGGTGCAAACCGCAGATGCTGAACAGCTGCCGCTGCCCTTTCATAGTCAAGGTGGACAAGTTCCTTCATAGAAGGTGATGCCTTTCAGTTCAAAGCTGGTTTATTTGTTAGCCCACCTACCTAGCTACAGTTGCAATCACCAAAAGTCTTAGTTAACCCACTCCGAAAAAACAACTTAGATAAGGAAAACCACCGTGTTGACTTTGACATGGTCATGGGAGTCATGGCCCCAATCACATGAGCTTGAGCACAGTCCGATCACAATGACATTTCATTATCCCCATCCCCAAAGTTATGGTGACTCCACCCTCAAGCCCAATGATATTACCCAGTGTTGATGGTTAAGTCACATCAAACCAGTGTGGAACGAAGCCAACAACCCCAAAACGATGCTGAAAAGTTGCACATCTGGAAAATATGCTGGAAACATCATCGAAGTACCATCCTGGTTTCAGACTTCTCGGCATCCTCCTTTTTGGGTGCTGTATACACTAATATATATATATATATATATACATATATATGTATGATTGCGTATGTATAGATGGGATGTGATATACGGAATCATTGTATGTCTGATTAATATATATATATGCATTATAAATATTATACATAATATATACTTGGTGGCTCACCCCACTGAGCAAGTGGCTTATAATCCCAGTTCTAAGTAGGCTAACCATGAGGTTTGGCCGATTTCTCCGCGACTGCGGGCTGCTGAGCATGGAGGTCGAGTCCTTCCGACGTGCCGGTTTCGGCAGGGCTGATGTTGAAGGAATCATGTGAAAGCAAAGGGAAAACCATGGGAAACCCATAGGTTTTTCTAGGAGATTTAGGAAAATGACAGTTTACTGGGATATCATGCGAAATTCATAGGAGAATGGGAAAAACATGGAAAAAAAATCAGTGCAAAATTGCCATGTTTTAGCGACATCAGGGAAAATCACCTCTAAATGGGCAAATTGATATTGCTTCATTCTGGGGTACTCTACTTTCAATTTCATTTCCAGACAAACAAATTGAAGTTGTTTTTGGTGGTGATGTGCCCTAACATGCGGTTCTTTACCTTGCAAAACAGTGATTTCACTCGCAGAAATACAGGTGTGCAATGATGAACATACTGAATAGCCATGGTTGGGACGGGAAATGAATCCAATCTTCCCAATGTTAAGTTCGATTTAATCCCTGAAATGTTCACAGAACCTGGCCGAATCAGAGATCCAAGATTATCCCCAGTGACATCCCTATTGTATCCAATAACTTCTTGATGGTTCTATCCCATTCAACATCACCAATATCACCAGTCACCAGTCACCATTCCCATTTCAAGATGATGTTCCCCATCATATCCCCTTCAAGTAGCCATGATTCTGGCCGGTTAGATCATGTTAAATCACAAGAATTACTTTACTTCGTGCGATCCCCACCATGACATTTATACATTTTCTTTCTGGCAAATCTTCTGGCATTCTATCTGACATATCTTCTGGCATTCTATCTGGCATTCATATCTGGCATATTCTTCTGGCATATCTTCTGGCATTCTATCTTCTGACATTCTATCTGGCATATCTTCTGGCATTCTATCTGGCCGTTGAGGTCCAGCGGTGCACACTGAGCTGGGCAGGTCCCAGGTTGAGGTCCAGCGGTGCACACTGAGCTGGGCAGGTCCCAGGTTGAGGTCCAGCGGTGCACACTGAGCTGGGACGGTCCCAGGTTGAGGTCCAGCGGTGCACACTGAGCTGGGCAGGTCCCAGGTTGAGGTCCAGCGGTGCACACTGAGCTGGGCAGGTCCCAGGTTGAGGTTGAGCGGTGCACACTGAGCTGGGCAGGTCCCAGTTTGAGGTCCAGCGGTGCACACTGAGCTGCGACGGTCCCAGGTTGAGGTCCAGCGGTGCACACTGAGCTGGGAAGGTCCCAGGTTGAGGTCCAGCGGTGCACACTGAGCTGGGAAGTTGGCAAAGAGCTTGGCGAAGAGAGTTGGCAAAGAGCTTGGCGAAGAGTTGGCAAGGCGGAAGTGCAGGTGGAAGTTGATGCAGACATGGTCGAGGAGAAACTGGAGGAGGAGGAGGACGAGGAGGAGGAGGACTGATAAAATCTAACAACCCTCACCTGGCAGGTGGGGAAAAAAACACAACATCCCATGATATACTGTACCTATTCTCGTTGGTTATATCCGTATCCTTTTTTTATGTTCCCCATCATATCGCCCGATATATCCCCTGATATATATATATATATTCCCACTATATCCATAGAGATGATTGATAACCATTCTCCACAGGTTTTCCCATGATTTTCTCATGATCTTCCCATCGTTTGTCCATGATTCTCAACTCTTGTTCATCATGCTAAGTCACAATAAACGTCAGTCCCATTATATCCCCAGATGCAATGTATCCAACAATCATCATGATATTAGTTGGTGATGATAAACACATTCCCATTATACGGTTTACGGAAGAAATCCTGCACCAGCTGGTAAATAGGTTATCCCACTACAATCCCATTATTTGCAGCGTTTCATAGTTACCAAATGTTACCAATAGCTGCCAACTGGTGCAGGATTTCTTCCATCCACAGTGTCACCCTCTTGGGCGCCATTCTCCACTGGTGATTGATGTTCGGAGCCAGGCGCAGGGAGCCATCAGCTTCAACTTTGCTCCCGAAGGCGCTTTGGCTGTGGTTTCAGCTGTTTTTTGCAGCAGGAAAATGAAGGGAACATGAGAACATGATGAGAAAATGATGGGAACCTGATGGGAAACTCATGGGAAATGATGGGAACATGATGGGAAAGTGACGGGAACATGGTGAGACAATGATGGGAACATGATGAGAAACTGGGCATTTAACGTGAAAACTGGTGAGAACATGTGATGATGGAGACATGACCGGGTGAAGCTCGGATGGGTATCAAAGATGGCCGATGTTGGGACATTTGCCATGAAATTGATGGGTAAACAGCTTTTCATGAAAGATATGAAAGGTAGTAAATAGCAGATGTGAAAATTGGAGATGCAATATTTAATTGCCTTCGGCAAGCCCGCCGGCCATAGAGAGGTGGCCCCAAGGGAGTTTGATGTGCATTCTATTCTAGGTGGAAGCCGGTGAGGGAAGAAGAAGAGAAAAGAAGGAGAAGAAGAAGAATAAGAAGGGAAGACGAAGACAGAGCCGTAAAATGGAAGCGGCTTGTGTGGCAAGTGCTGGCTGTAACAACCTATTGATCGTATACCAAATTAGTACCGCCCCCAGCAAAGTAGCGCCACGTGCTATTTATGAGCCTCTGGCTTGACAGCAGACCGCTGCATGGAAGGAGACAGGGTGGAAGCGGAGAGAGGTTGCTCCAAACGCGTACGCGAGGTGGAAGCCTACAGACTGCATACCAAATGGGTATTAGTGGATCAGCTTAGCGCCGTGTGCATCCTGTGACTAATACCTGTAGACGACTGCAATGGTGTAGACAGTGTTAGCAGCTACTGGCACTATCAGTTTAGTATTTGGGGAAGATGGGAGGGAGGAGTTTAGGGTAGTTTAGGAGTAGGGGTAGGGGTAGGAGTAGGAGGAGGAGTAAAGGTAGTAGTGGTAGTGGTAGTGGCAGTGGCAGTGGCAGTAGCAGCGGTAGTGGTAGTGGTAGGTAATAGTAGTAGGTGGTGGCGGGAAGGGGGTTGGACTTGATTCAGACGAAGCAAAAACGCGCTGCAAGAGAACGAAGGAACAAGTACAAGCCAAGAACAGAAACAAGAACAACACCTTCCAATGAGACACGCCGGCAGGCCGGCGGATTTCCGGGGTAGTAATTTGTATTTTTTTGGCCGTAAAATATTTACGAGCCAGCCAACATAATGGTAAAATGCAGGGTATCTAAGATTGGAATTTGTTTGGTTTGCAGCACATCGCGTTGATCGTTGGCTAGCATCACCTTCAGCCAATAGCCCTTTGCTGCTTTGTGAACCCATCCGCTTGGGATGATTGAAAACACAGATGTGGGGATTGTAGAAAGAATTCCAGGTCACCAGTCCAAAACACCAATCGAAAACGAGTTGACCAACCCAAATTAGATGAAGAACCAACATATAGAGGTGTCCTAAGTCATACCCGCAGTTATCATTTTTTTTGTGGGGGAATCGGATTTTCCATTAAAAGAAACATCCAGCTATTGGGGTACCATCTTACCCCTGGTGATGATCCAAAATGACAATCCTTTTCAAGTGGCTCAAACCACCAAGTCGTATCATCTGGGTTTGTCCAAACCTCATAGAAAAAGTGTTAAACCAGGATGGTATTCCCATGATATTTACGACGTAGTTTCAAGTTTCCACGTTTCCCACGTTTCTATCTATGACTGGGGGTTGCTATACCCCTAAAATCCAATGGTTTCGCATCATGTTCCAGATCATCTCTCTGTTTTGGACAAACCCAAATAGGAGAATTGGGTCTTCAACCGTTGATGGTTGATCCTCATAACCAGCAAAGCAAATCTCTGTTGATCGCACCAATCCTGTAAAGCCGCTATAGTATTGGTTCCATTTACCCATCAATGTTCAAAGCTACACACTCCATTCATCCATAATATCTAGATAAGTTCTAGTATGCAAAAATGAGAAATTTGCAAGATGATTTTCCATGATTTTCCCAAACATGTTGCCAGTTTACGCCAATTTACAAGGTGGTGCCTTCTGGTTATGTTGGTTTAGATTTACCCCATGACAACAGCAGTGGAGGCCGACGATCCGTGAAGCCTCGAGGCGTCCCTCACGGGGAAAGTGCAGGTGGTGATCCCCCAAAGCTTAGGAAAGAACTCCCAAACCTTACTTACTGGTGCTTAGCAGGGCATGGATGGGACTGGGGGAATGGGATGATTATTACTAGTGATTATGGATCATTCCCGAAAATTCCCTACTAAGCACCAGTAAGCTTAGGAAAATCCATGAACTGAACATCTATAGATGGATTTTTCCATCAAAAACCTCCATTCAGTTCGGGAATTTCCCATTGCCATGCGTGATGACACCGGAGGGTAGCTAGGATAGCTAAGTTGGTTTGTAACTTGGCTGACTGTTGGCGTGGCGTTGTTTTTTTGGTAGTTAGATGATGTTAGATGGCTAAGCCAATTTCCAATTGGGCTGAGCATCAGGTTACATTGGTTACAATCCACACACCTGACATGACAACCCTGCCATGAGACCTGGGGGTTGGAAGACTGAAGGCTGTCAGAAGCTCGATGGAAACGAAGACAGGGGACCATGCGTGTACAAAGTTATGGCCTTCAACAGTTATACATCAATTTATGACTCCTCTTAAAATCTCTTAAAGGAGATACCAGGATAATATGTATAGTGAGGTTATAAGTTATAAGCCAGTTATAGACTGTTATACATGTTAAGGGCTATAGCTGCAGGCTACTCGTAATGGGCCCCTCAAGCTTCAAAAGGTACCCCTTTATGCCCTGTCTTTGGCAACCCAGAAGGGTGGAATGCTCATATAGGAAGGGACCCCTAAACGATGAGTTTCAGTTGGTTTATAGTTAGGTTATCTTAGGTTGAGTTGGTTTATACTTGGGTTGATTAGTATTTAAAACCTATGATAGATACGCAATGATGTGTATACTGTATATATATATACATATATATATAGGGTTTGAAACAACTTACAATTAGGGCATCACCTTGAACTTACTGTGGACTGTCAGGATCAACTGACCAGCAGCTCACCAGCTTCGACCCATCCCCGTTTTGAAGGCGTAAACCACCAAGAAAGACCGGGAAAGATAGGTGATTTACGGTGATTTCCCATTGGGAGATGTTGATTGCTTGGAAAATGCCATCATCTTTCGAGCTTTGGCAGCGAGCCACTTGTGACGAACTGCGCCCTGGCCCTGGCTCCAGATATTTTTCGGGGCAACTGAAGGGACGCATTGATCAGACTCGCAAAACAGAAGTCGCCCAAAGACATGAGAAACACATGGACAAGAAAAAACTCTCAAGTAAATGGGCAAAAGATAAAATGACGAGGCAGTTGATTACATGTTCATACATATTCAATGATTTGCAACCGCACAGATATTTGTCAATTTCCTACTTCAACCAGTATCTCACAAGGGATATCTCATGGCTTGAAGCGTCCCCCTGTCAGGGAGTAGTAGGATCCGAAACGGGCCGAACGTCGATCCGGTTTCGTCGCCGCCATGCCGCCCTTGCCCAAAAAACGCTTGATAGGTGCGGGGAATTGGATTGCCCAGTGGAATTTGTTAGTAGCTGGGTATATATTCATAGAGTATATACATATCAGGTGTTTTCATTAAAGAGAAAATATATGTTCAGAAACACGTAAAGATGCACCTATAAATAATTACGTTATGAGTATACATGCGTAATTACTGGAAAAATATGTACAGTTACATGTAAAGAACTCATTTGGAACCCAGTTGTGAGCAGATTTTGGGATGGAAAAAACCTCCACCCTTTATGGGTCTTGGCGCAAATCAGTGCTCGGATCTAGTCCCAAAATCGGGATACTGGTTGGTGGTTTGGAACCATGGAATTTTATGACTTTCAGCAGTGATTGATAGTGATGGTTAATAGTGGTTAATAGGCTATAAACCAACAACAATGGGAATATGATGGTGATACTGGTTGGTGGTGACTGGAACCATGGAATTTTGAATGACTTTCCATTCAGTTGGGAATGGAATAATAATCCCAATTGACGAACTCCATCATTTTTCAGAGGGGTAGGTATACCACCAACCCGGATAACTTGGATAGCTCTCTATTTAATATATGATTAAACTAAACGTGGTAACCCTACACTTAGTCACTTTTGAGATGTTTCATATAGCCTCAACACATGCAAAAATGCTACCTGAAGCCGACGGACTCTTGGAAGTGCTGGCCATGGATCCTGACACCGAAAAAAGATGCCAATCAGCTCGCAGCCGAGTACCGATGAGTCCTAGCGAAACTGGATCATTGGAAATCTTGGAAATCTTGATCTCAATTCATGGATACTATCCTGTCACAACTGATGGAAGAAATAACGCTTTAGCACTGTCGCTGGCAAAGGCCATGGATCCGGACCTTTTTTCTGGTGAATCATGGCCACAGTCCCAAAAAACGAAACGGAAAGATCCACCATGCAATAGCTGGGTAAATCGACGAACTTTATAAATGGGCAATTTTCAATAGCTATGTTATATAGTTTACCGGAGGCTACATGTTAAACTTACTTCGTATTCTTCGTTGACCAAATTTCCCTGCGTCTTGTGAGCAACCCTTACCCATTTAAGTGCTTGGGCCAAAATAGGGTCAATTGCCCATATTGAGGGGTCATAGGGATGGGATTTCAATAGACACTATAAGGATACCCGTTATAAAATGGATTTCCATACCAAATTCACAATGTTTTGACCATGGCACATACCAAAGCATACAAAACTATATCATACCTCCATGTCATTGTTTTAATCCCAAATTGATCGTTGCACCCCAATTTTGGTTGAGATAGAAAAATCTAGTACCCTTTGATCATTGAACAGTTCGCTATGGAGCATCACCATGTGTAATATACAGTAAATCAATGTAAATCATCTATCAATGGGCCATCTATACCATAGCCATGTCAAATTACCGGAGGGAAAGTGACTCTGTCATTCAGAAATCTTCAGGGTTAGATCCCATGTTCCCATCAATCCCGACGTTCGATGGTTCAATCCGATAGACAGACCATAAGTTCCCATGGTGCTGTCACTTGGGGTATGGATAAGTACATCATTTACAGGGTAGTACCCCCTAGTTTTGTTTGCTGGTGGCTTATAATCACCACTAACCAGTTCAAGATACCCTCTTGCACTCCAAGATGACAATGGAAACAACAGAATTTATAGATATCATGTGTAGTATGTTGTTTTTTCCCAGCTATAAACCTCCATTTTTTACGGGATTTGGCATATGTTCCCATGTTTTTCCCATTGTTTCCAATGTTTTTCCCCTTCAACGCTGGGATGTTCCAGCAGGCAAGCAGCCCGGCCCAGCCGAGCTCTATCCGGAAGTGGAACTAGCCCCGTGGTGGCGATACAGTGTGGTGGCGAAGGGACGTGAAGGTTTTGGGAAGAAGCAGATATTATGGATATACATATCAATACCTATGGTAGTATATAAATATTGCATAAAATATAGAGTCACACACATGTATATATATATATATAATTATATATACACATATACATATAGCTGTATTATATATATAATATGCGTAGTTATAGGCATCCAATGCAGATAAAGGGGTGCAATAATCTGCATTGGTGCTCTTACCCATCCTGCCATGGGCCTTCCAAGGCTCACTCGTCGCATATGGGAACAGCTGAGCCATTCAAAATATCCCGTTGATTGTTTGATACTGATGGTGATGAAGTTGAATGGGATAACACAGCAACATATAAGTTGAATGGCTGATCGTGATATTAGGATACTCCCTGAGCCATTTAAAATATATAGTTGTGGTGATTACTAGGATAACTCTTGGGTTTAGTGGCAATGAAGTGTTTATTTTCAGCGCGGTAGCTGAAACTAAAGCAACACACATCATCTGTGGGATACCACTTTCTGCGGATTTGACCATCATTGATTCAACGGGAAAAAAAAGGATCCAATGGATGGAGGTACTAACTTAGTACCATATGTTTGGCCATATTTTGCTGGGATATTCCCTGAAAAATAGGCTTGAAAAATAGGCCTTATATATGGAATCGGTACCTCCAATCTAGGATCCTGAAATGGCCATTGATTGATAGAGAATCCATGATTTTTTGCGATTTGTTTGGCGTGGTTTACGAGAAAACCTGCCCGGTTTCTTGGGGATAGTGGCTGCTGCTGAACAAAAAGACAGGAAGGGCCTTTGAGTCCAACCCTGGCACCTTTGTGGACACAGTGGACACCAAGCTAAGGGGTAAATGGACGTGCATCCCCTATACATCTGTTGGCACTTTGAACCATACAGGATCCCTTCCAGTTATACGTTGCACCTATCCAACTGTAGGTCCACTTCTAATCATGTGATGTCATTTTTTTTTGGTACCAACTTACCTATTTGTTTGTTTTAACCACCATCTTCATAGTAGATTCATTCACATTTCCTGGTGTCAATGGATTGGCTTCGGGGAAGTTTTGCATGAACCAGCCAGATTTCATGGTAACCCGAGGTGGACAGCTTCGGAAGACTCGATCTGCCGCGGAGGAAGTTGTCACTGAAGGGTCGCAAGGCTGCACGAGTCGCAGTCTTCCCGCGGCTCTATGTGTCTTGGCGAAGTGGGCGAGCTGGATGTGACATTTGTTTGAAGAAGACAAGGGAATTGGTGATAAGGTTTTTAATGGTGTTTTGAACTCTTAACCCCCTTCAGTTTTAAACATGAACCAAACTGGATGATTTCCAAGTTGTTCAGCTTATGATTTTATTCGATGAGGAGGAACTGGACATTGAATCACTTGCGGACTCTTTGTCAGCTGAAGTCTAGCTTGAGGTTGGCATCGTACCAGTATTGCCACGTGGGCCGTGGTGAGTAGGGACAAGATCTGGGTGAAGTGTAGCAACCTCATAACGACCGAACATCCCAAAATAATGTAACGTTTCAGATGTGCGATGGGTTTTTTCAGTATTTGCCCGGAAGGTTAGACTCGGTTAGACAACTAGACTTCTTGATTCAGTGAGTATGATTACACTCCACGAACTGGAAACACTGCTCTCAACGTAGAATTGGGTCTCAGAATTGGGTCCATAACTTTCATTTCAACAGTGAAATCTCGCTCAACTGCAAATGTTTCTTTCTAATGCCCAATATTTTAGTTACTGGCAGAATCTCATTAAATCTCCAGGTTTGTTGCTCGACATCCAAAATTTCAAGACTGGACACCCAACCCCAACCCCCCTTTTCCTTTTAAAATGGCCCTGGTTTAAAACAAAAGCCACATGTGTGGTTCTCATCTTTAACCCCGCAAAAAAAAAAAAAGATTTCTTTGGGAAACTTTTTGGGGTATGAAGAAAAAGGCTTTCTCTGACATTGTTCATTCGAATGCTCCAGTTGGAAAAAACATTGTTATGCAAGCAAAGTTCTGAGTGTGCTTTCTGCTTGTGAGTTTGTCTTCTATATTGGTGTCGGAAATGTCAAATGTGCATAATTTATTATGTTTATCCTTGCAATAGTCTCAGTATTTCGGCTCTTCGTGGCGCTGATCTGTGACGATGAACGGGGCGATCAACGATAATTATGCACAGGCAATTGGGTCATTTTATTTTTTGGATTTTTACCTAGACCTGTCAGGAGGCTATCGTTGACAACGCAATCTTCTACATTGGAAACCAGAAGTTGGTTCAAAGTCTGATCCCCAGTTTTTTTTTGAATGCTGAGCGTATTGTTTCTTTTGTTTTTTTGAGGTCGACAGATGTATGAATATCGTCGTCCTGCTGGGTGGTGTCCATTCTTGATTTGCACCAACTACACTCCTTCAGGCTCAGTTGAACTCATGCATTTGATTGTGAACACATTTTTCATTTAGATTTTGCCTCATGGAGGTAAGCCAGGACACGCGATGATTCTTGAGAGGAAATCCCTCTCAAGAATCATCGCGTGTCCTGGCTTACCTCCATGAGGCAAAATCTAAATGAAAAATGTTTGGGCTGGGTAGCCTCTGAAGGCATTTACACGCCCGAGAATTTCACTTTTCAAAGGCTCCGAGCCTGCTTCAAGTGTACTTCTGTTGAAGCATTGACAGATGGATCTTATCAGGAATGGTTCGTTAACGGAGCTGGAAATGGATCTGATCCCGATTGGGGAACGTCCGGTACGCGTTGTCTCTCCAAATGGGAAGCTGAATGAAATGTGCGATTGTTTTTTTAATTGCTTGTAAAGGTTTTTTTTCGTTTATTCTCAATGCATATGATCTAAAGTTGTTTGTTGATGCAATGATCTGTTTTTTATGTTTCACAGCTCGGGAACAGCGTCCGTGATCTGGAATGAAACATCGCCTCAATTCATGCTTCAGCGTGAGTGTATTTGCTAAGTCAATGCACCACAGTCCGACTCACGGATCTTCCTCTCGGTGGCAAAATAATGCAAATTATATTTCAGCGTTTCAAGATCGGCTGAACGGCATTCGCTAGTACTTAACCGATGCACTTCACGATACCACATCACATGAAATGATTACGTCTTCTTCATTCTGGCTCACTAGCTTCTATTAGTGACCTGTTGAGTTGGGCTTTCAGTTTTGTTGGAATTGCGGAATTGTCAGATTCTCAGATAAAGGCCAGCTGGCTGTCGGATCCGTTCGATTACTTGATGTTGAATTTGTTTCGAAATTGTTAATTCGATTTCTGAGATTTTAGGGTTTAGCGTTGGGTAAACATGGCAAAAAAATTGGCAGCGCTTCCGCGGAGAGGGGCCGACCCCCATTGCTAAATCCTTCTCTTACATTGAATTCGCAGTAAATACATTCTGGATTTCTATTATGACAATAATGGTGTCTTTATGTCTTTTTGTTTTGTTTTGCACGAGGCTAGAGTCGGCCATTTCTTTTTTATGGAGTTGCTGATCGGTCACTCACTCAGATGAAGGCCGCTTTGACTGAGCCATTTTGTTTTTTTCATCCTCCTCAGGAGCTCAAGTCATTTGTGATCCATCCTGGTGGGGAGCCTATCTTGCACCGATCTTGCAATAAAGCAGAATGTTGCTTTTTACAAGAAAGATTGAAATTTATTTTCCTTTTTCAACCAAAAAGAAGTTTGCAACCTGTGAAGTCTATTGGATTGCGAAAGAGGTGGGCGAGCTTTGTGGAGGTCCGATGCCTTTTCTTTTTTGCCAGATAGCAGTTTTGGGTTTTCAATCTGTATTCAAATTGTATTCAGTTGGGGAGAACTGGCTCAAAGGCAATGAATTATTTTCTGCCCATCCAACCACACTTGGATGATGGATCAACTTCGGTTATATCGAGTGGACGTCTCATCAGAAGAACAGCTTGAACGTTACGAACAATTGTTCGAACTGGCACTGACGAGTGTGATATTTGGAATGGGCGAGCAACGCAGTTTCCATTTCTTGACATTCATGACAGTGCAGGACTTCTGCACTCTACGCTGTACTTGTTTTGCTGTCGCTGTGGACGGTGGTTCCCATGTTTGTCCACTTCCAATTCGTTTGTCATATTTTTTCCCATTCGAATGGCCATACCCTCCGGTAATAAAATGTGGCTGGCTGGGAAATCTCGATTTAGTTCAATGATCTTCCCATGAAAATCATCTAAGATCATCTAAAATCATGAAAACCCTTTTGTTTCCGAGCGATTTTCAAGGATTTTGCATTACCCTCTGGCAAACTAACAGTTTACTATTGAAATTGGCCATTGATAGTGGATTTGCCAATTAAAAATGGTGGATCTTTCCATAGTTATGTGAAAGTTTACCAGGCCGGGTACCATTGATGACACCCGTCTCGACGGGTCGCCGCAACGTGGATGTCCACACCAGTGGCATCCGAGGCTGTGGTGGGCGTGGAATGGGAGAACGAGGTGGCTGTGATCTCCACACCCCCGCGGCTGACGCTGAAGGACGCAAAGCGCCGCTGGTGTGGGCGTTCGAGATGGGGAGAAGTCAGTTGTCAAAACCATCAACTGGATTCAACTGGTATACTATGGTAGGTTTGTATGGTATATATATATATATGGTAAATAAATGGATCTACCAATATATTAATTAATGGATAATAATGAATAATAATGGATATTAATCACTACTAATCATTATCAACCACTAGAAACCACTATCAACATTCTATCAACCACTATCAATGGATGACTGGTTGGTGGTTTGGAACATGAATTTTATGACTTTCCATATATTGGGAATTTCATCATCCCAACTGACGAACTCATATTTTTCAGAGGGGTAGGTCAACCACCAACCAGTAAGAAAAAATGTGTTTTGTTGGATTTAATGGAAATTATTGAGATTTGATGGGATTCAATTTACCATTCTTGATGGGATTACTAGACATTTGGCCTCTGGTAATCGAAAATCACATATAAATACAAGGTTGAATGGGAAAATCATCTATGAATGGGGGATTTCAAAAATTGCAACGTGTGAATACCGGAGGGTATATTTTTATGGGAGGGGCATCCATGACTACCACGCATTTTGATATGAACAGAAGCGCACCAGGATTTTGATCCAGATAAAGGGGGAACCACAAGTTAACCCTTAGGAACTAGCCATGTCTTTTGATAAATATCCGCTGTTGTTGGTTAAGATCACGTTTTCTTTTGATGCTTAGAATCAGTCCTAAGAAATGCCACACTCATGTGACTCAATTTACATAGATTATACCTACTACCTACTACCTACTACCTAGTACCTACTACCCTCTACTGACTACCCACTAGCCACTACCCACTACCTACTACCTACTACCTACTACCAACTACCAACTACCAACTACCACTACCACGACGACGACGACGACTACTACTACTACTACTAGACTACTACTACTACTACTACTATACTACTTCTACTACTTCTACTACTTCTACTACTTCTACTACTTCTACTACTTCTACTACTTCTACTACTACTACTGCTACTACTACTATTACTACTACTACTACTACTACTACTACTTCTACTACTACTACTACTACTACTACTACTACTATTACTACGACTACGACTACGACTACGACTACAACTCCGACGATATACCAGCACCATGTTTCATGGCTAACTCCTGCATTTCATGAAGCCTGATACCCTCCAGTTTCATCAAAAGTGGAAAATCCACCAGCCATAGTTCGATGATTTTCCCATTCCTCCATTTAGTTGGGGGCATTGTCCATCCACCCATGTTGAGTTACGGCATCGGGTTCAAAGAAACATAGTTATGGAAAATCACCATTTTTTCTTTCTGGGAAAACTCACTTTATACATGGCAATTTTCAATAGCTATGTTGGTTTACCAGAGGGTAAAGACTGAGAAGTTGGAGAAAGAGGAACGTGACTTGAAGCAGTCAAGGCGAAAGGTGAGGCTGTAGTTGCCAAAAGTTTGCTAGGAAGCGTTTCTGTCCCGAAATACCCGTTGGCCCCGGTACCAGATCGATTCCCACCAGTTAATCCTTTGCCTACTGGATTGGCACCGGCGGTTGTGTCGTCACCCCTTGAAGTGCGTGTGTCTCTTGACTATCATAACACGCTGAACTGTGAATCGGCAGGGTGTAACACATACGACGGGATTCGAACCTCGGCGGCCAACGCCACAGCATCCTTTTTGCAGAGAGGCCCAAGGAAACAGCGGCAAAACTCCAGAAGCAACGCGGTGACATGAAGAAACAAAATGGTCGTGACGTGAGCCCTACACTGTCCGGGCACAGCAGCTGTTCAGTCCCGGAGCCAAAGGTTCTCCCCAGATTATCCTGATCAAGATCGAGAGCATAGCTTCTTTCAGAAAATATGCAGTATGTTGTTTGCACATAGCTGTTTGATGGATATACAGATCATAGTTTGTTCAAGAAGCTTGCAGAAGTGCTTGACTATGCTTTGACGGTGCTGACTCCCTCGCTGGTTTCAAAGCTGAGTGAGTCACATGCCAAGAATCTTTTTGTTGACCTTGAAATCACCAACCAGTCCATATAGTTCCGTATCCTATTAAGAAACCATGTAAAATATGCCATTAACATTAACCCACCATTTTTCCCGGTTGACCTCCCATTTTCCATGGTTAAACCCTCATCATTTCTAATTAACCCACAATTTTTCCCAGTTAACTCATCCTTTTCATTCCTTTTCCTTGGATCACATCGTCCTGTGAGATGCTTAGTCGGATTAGTCGGGTTGTTCCCAACTCAGGAGGCCATGCGGGACGCGCGAAGGGAGGCATTGAAGGAACGGCGCCATTGGGCACAGGCGCTTCCAATGACGGGTTTATGACACCTACTGGGTGGGTAGTTTAGTTGTTGTTACTTTTGTTCGATGTTGGTTTGCTTGACATGGAAAGTAACCATATATATGCATTTATATTTACAGAGTAAACGGGAGTTGTAAACCAACTTAAGGTGGAAAGACACTTCATGCAAACAAGACTGGGGGACCATAGGTATAAGTTGGTTAATTAACCCACCAAACTCTAGTTGTTTATCACCATAAACCCAACAGTTAACCTAGTTGACCCATTTACCACATCCCCCTGGGCTTCCGAAAGAATCTATCCCGCAGAGTTCGAAACCTGGTTTGGTGTGCAGAATTGTGGTCTCCAAAAATGCCATTCCATAATGGGTAGAAAAAACAATATATATAATATATAACATATTGATGTAACATTGGACGGGTTTGTCTAAGGATAGGGTCCCAATTTTCATAAACAAGACATTGTTTATTATATGCGTTGCTATAAAAGTGCCAAAAGTTACAGGTACTTCGACACTCCAGTTGAAAAATGATGCCTGGTAATTCAACAGCTTGCTAACTGGAAACTCACCCCACTGAACAGTAAATCATCGAGCAAAATTGGCAATTTTGACTCATGTTCCATCATGATCGTCACAGCAAATTGTCCAAATGACTAGAAGGTATTATCCTATTCCAGCATTATCCCCATGAATATTCCGTGATATATCCCTTTCTCTTCCCATCAAACCACCATGTTGGTAAAATCTCATGTCTCCAAGATTCCATCTCAGTGAATCCTAAAAAGTTTTCCAGGTAAAGCTCAGGTAAACCGCCATTCAGCCACCAATTTTCTGGTTCAATTCCTCGACAGCAGGTGGCCAAAGAGCTTGGAGATTTACCAACTGGAGATGAGATTGGTCGCTTGGCAAGCTTGGCCGCCGGATCTTACCGGAGAATGCCCACGTTTTGGTCAAGCATATAGGAAATCATCTGGTTGGTGGTGACTGGAACATGAACGGATTATTTTCCATGTCATATATGGGGTGTCATCCTTTCCATTGACGAACCCATATTTTTTCAGAGGGGTTCTTGCACCACCCACCAGATGAAAAAAACAAGAAAAACATGTGTTTTGTTGGGATTTTTAATGGAATTTATTGAGATTCGATGGGATTCAATTTACCATTGTTGATGGGATTACTAGACATTTGGCCTCAAAAAATGTAACTCACCAGCTTAAAATCCTTGAGCCTCGCTGAGCTGGACACCTCCAAAGATTTCCATGAGCTGGTTATGTGTGTGTTTTGTCGTTGATAGCTACACGAATGATCCACAGCTAAAATTACTGCGTGGTGAAATGTGACAATGTGTCTTAATTGTGTTGGCAATAGCGAAAGAATGCCATAGTGGCGATTCAACTTGATTCAGCATGTATGTTTTGCTTAACATAGCCTATGGGCATTACACAAAATTGCCATGTTATCAATGGCCATCTCTGGAACCTATAAGGCCTATTTTCAGGCCTAAATTTCAGGGAATATCACAAAATATGGCCAAACATATGGTACTAACGTACCTCCATCAATTGGATCCTGAAATTCCCATTGATCTAACAACAATGATTGAAAATTGCCATTTATAGTGAATTTTCCGATAAAAAATGGTGATTTTCCATGGATGTTATTAAGACCCCCAAAAACAGATCATTTTCCCATGGATTTCCCATTGAAATCGCCTCGGTGGCGCGTGTTTATCGAGGCGATGTGACCTTCATGGTTGCGCAGCTGACCACGAAAGGTCTGAAACGCTTGAGATGCTTGGCTGATGATCGAAGGGATTGGACACTTTAAAGTATTAAGCGTCCAACATATGGGAAAATATGGGAAGAACATGTATAAATGACGATACAGTATAATGGGGATATATTATGCAATATTAATGGGATTTAGCAAGTTTTAAGTATCAATCATTCAAGTTGTGATGATATTTTGGGGACATATGACAGACACACACACACATATATATACATATGTCTTATGTATATATATATATATATATGTGTATGTATGGGATAAACATCTACACATGGAAAATATATGGCATATATGGGATAATGTGAGATACTTAATCGTGTGTGATGTACTAATCGCCCAGTTTTTGAGAAACCATGGGAAATTACAAGGTGGTTCCCCCAGACGTTATTTTAGTTAGTTTAGAAAACATACCAGCTATTAAAATAGATATACACATATATCTAATAAAAGCTACAAGTTGGTTTACAACCCCCATGAATTTTAGGTATCTACCATAAATATTTTATAATATGGACTATCCTATTATATATATATATTAAGAAAAACAGAATATTTTAGATTGTAATTGTCATAGATGATCTAAAACTATTGTTTATTGATTGTGTTTTTAGAAATCAAATAATTTATATCTATGATCATCAATCATTCTATGATCTATCTGTTGATGCATGCAACAACGTTTAGATATGTTATATATATATATCGAATTGTAATCAAATCCTCCACCATCTGTTTCTTCCTCCAGTCCAAGGTGCAGCCGACAACTTTGGAAAGTTCCTGAGTGCTGCCACTTGGGCTCACAGAGCCCTCGGCGTTTGGCCACAAAGGAAGATTCGGATACATATATGACCATTTGCCAAAAATAGTTGACAGATATGTGGTTTTTCCTGTCAATAATTGTTGATAATTAGTGTGGATAATTGTTGATCAAACCCGCTAGGTTTGCGCTAGTTTTTTTTCACACCCATGTTCAAGGATATTTTTATATGTTCCTGACTGCTTGTTATTTCAACTTGAAGAAAAGTCACATGTAACACTTAGCTCCTTAAACCTAAGGATGTCTTAGTGAATTTCTGTGCTACTCAACAATTTTCCTATATTGTTTAGGTTGCGGCTCAATTTTGGCAAATTGTACATAAGTTTACTCGCTAGATCCCCGCGCTAGCAATGGTTTCAAAAAGTGGCTTTGGCTGACCCGTGACCCAGTCACCACCAGAGAACTTGTAGTTTATCCTGTCTGTTTGACAAATTCCACTACTAATAACTAGCAGCCGCAACCACTTCATATAGACGTGCGTTAGAATTTACTGCAGGTTTTAGCTACGGTTTCAAACATGAAAGATGAAATGCAGGGTTTCAGACTATTTCGATAAGTCCTAGTTCTAAAGACCAAACAAGAAGCGGCACGCAAGGAATTACGATTTATCAACCAAACCAGGAGACGACAGTTTGACAAACCGTCAATATATATATATATATATCATATTTAATATGTATATATATACACTAACACTATGATAATCTATTATGTATAATGATCTTGTCTTTCTTCTCAACGTATACATGGATAGATGTATACATAGGTGGGTTCTACTCTCTAGGGAACAAACGTATCCACTTTTTTTGTGAAAAAAAAGTTGTTTTGGATACGTTAGCTGCTGTGAACATAGGCTATGATAAATGCCCTATACTTGAGACATGTTAGTTGAAAATCCAGAATGGACATGTTAGTGGAAAAGTTGTCCCCCCCTCTGGGGGTTCCCGGGAAACTGCCAGAAGACTACTGCCCGGGACGCCCCAGCATCTTTATTTCCAGACCCCAATAGGGCTCAAATCAAAGACTGCATCGATAACAAAACGGTGGAGAAAAAAGGGGTCCCAACTCCTTCCGGAAGAGCGCATCATAGATGATGCTCGTGGGTGGGCAGGAAGATTGGGGGTGCATTCCAAAAACCAGTTGCATTTACTAAGGGTTGGATGACTGGCCATGGAAAGCGTCCACCTAACGTGTCCGTGTTGTTCAGAGGATGTGGTTTTGAGATATGTGAGTGGTTATTGGCTGAACCTATCCCCCCAAAATAGCGAACATATCCCAGATCAGGGTCGAAATCCAAGGGCCCCAATTGCAGGAACTGAGACATGTTAGCTGTTTTTGGGTCAATGGTCCCAAAAAAAGTTGCAATGCATTCCCCAGGAAATCCAGGAAAACGCCAGTACAGAGTGGACATGTTAGTGGAAAAGTTGTCCCCCCCTCTGGGGGTTCCCGGGAAACTGCCAGAAGACTACCGCCCCGGACGCCCCAGCATCTTTATTTCCAGACCCCAATAGGGCTCAAATCAAAGACTGCATTGATAACACAACGGTGGAGAAAAAAGGGGTCCCAACTCCTTCCGGAAGAGCGCATCATAGATGATGCTCGTGGGTGGGCAGGAAGATTGGGGGTGCATTCCAAAAACAAGTTGCATTTACTAAGGGTTGGATGACTGGCCATGGAAAGCGTCCACTTAACGTGTCCGTGTTGTGTTTTGAGATATGTGAGTGGTTATTGGCCAAAAATAGCGAACATATCCCAGATCAGGGTCGAAATCCAAGGGCCCCAATTGCAGGAACTGAGACATGTTAGCTGTTTTTGGGTCAATGGTCCCAAAAAAGTTGCAATACATTCCCCAGGAAATCCAGGAAAACGCCGGTACAGAGTGGACATGTTAGTTGATACCTGAAACGGTAGCCCGAGACACGTATCCACTTTTTTTGTGGATTTTTTTTTTGGATACGTTAGCTGCTGTGAACATAGGCTATGATAAATGCCCCACACTTGAGGCCTGTTAGTTGAAAGTCCAGAATGGACATGTTAGTGGAAAAGTTGTCACCCCCTCTGGGGGTTCCCGGGAAACTGCCAGAAGACTACTGCCCCGGACGCCCCAGCATCTTTATTTCCAGACCCCAATAGGGCTCAAATCAAAGACTGCATCGATAACAAAACGGTGGAGAAAAAAGGGGTCCCAACTCCTTCCGGAAGAGCGCATCATAGATGATGCTCGTGGGTGGGCAGGAAGATTGGGGGTGCATTCCAAAAACCAGTTGCATTTACTAAGGGTTGGATGACTGGCCATGGAAAGCGTGCACCTAACGTGTCCGTGTTGTTCAGAGGATGTGGTTTTGAGATATGTGAGTGGTTATTGGCTGAATCTATCCCCCAAAAATAGCGAACATATCCCAGATCAGGGTCGAAATCCAAGGGCCCCAATTGCAGGAACTGAGACATGTTAGCTGTTTTCGGGTCAATGGTCCCAAAAAAAGTTGCAATGCATTCCCCAGGAAAACGCCGGTACAGAGTGGACATGTTAGTTGATACCTGAAACGGTAGCCCGAGACACGTTTGTTCCCGGGAGTGTATCATCAATGGAAATCATATTATCCCCCTTACAATGAGCTTTATTCCCCACAATGTGCCCAATGTGCCGTTATAAGTTGGTTTGGTTTCGCTGCACCCAACAAGGCTGCTGGAGTTAAATGCCTATTGGGGGTCTCACGTTGTGTACTCATTCCACTGCATCAAGGTCAAGAAATTGCAGACGTTTGAAAAGCGACGAGCCTTGGTCGAACTGGAAAGGGTTCATCCCAGTGGGATTTGTTGGGGTCTCACTGGTGGTGCCAGTTATGAATTAGTTGGTGCTATCACTGGATTGGTCGGAAAGCCCAATGGTTTTCATGGGGAAAACCATGGTTTCCGGCGAAGATTTTCGCTTCAACCAAGTCTTTGTAAAGTTTCTAAACCCCGATGGTCAGGGGTGAAATCAGTAATACCCCAGGATGAAGGTTGAAACCTTGATGCTGGGGTTGTAGGTCATTCGGGTTAATCACCTCGTTGATGTTGTTGTTTGCTTGCTTGCTTGCTTGCTTGTTTGGTTGGTTGGTTGGTTGTTTGTTTGTTTGTTTGTTTGGTTTGTTTGTTTGGTTTGTTTGTTTGGTTTCTTTGTTTGGTTTCTTTGTTTGGTTTCTTTGTTTGGTTTCTTTGTTTGGTTTCTTTGTTTGGTTTCTTTGTTTGGTTTCTTTGTTTGGTTTCTTTGTTTGGTTTGGTTTGGTTTGGTTTGGTTTCTTTGGTTTCTTTGGTTTCTTCGTTTCTTTGTTTCTTTGTTCCTTTGTTTCTTTGTTTCTTTGTTTCTTTGGTTGGTTGGTTGGTTGGTTGGTTGGTTGGTTGTTGGTTATGGTTGTGGTTGTGGTTGTTGTTGTTGTGGTTGTTGTTGTTGTTGTTGTTGTTGTTGGTGGTGGTGGTGGTGTTGGTGTTGGTGGTGTTGGTGTTGGTGTTGTTGTTGTTGTTGGTGGTGGTGGTGGTGGTGGTGTTGGTGTTGTTGTTGTTGTTGTTGTTGGTGGTGGTGGTGGTGGTGGTGTTGGTGTTGTTGGTGTTGGTGTTGGTGTTGGTGATGTTGATGTTGTTGTTGTTGTTTTAAACTAATTATATATATATGCATGTCAGTGAAATGTCTAGTACTTGTTGGTGAACTCAACATGATTGCTCAACATGATTGTTCATCAATTCCCATTTGTTGTCGTAGCTAACTCTGATGTTTTCAGGGTTGCTCCAATGCATGATAGGTAAATCATAGCTACAGGGGGAAAATGTGTTCATCCCCCTTGTGTTTGGGTTCTTTTGGAAGCAGCATGTTACATTGCCATATTGTCGTTGTTACATTGCCATATTGTCATGTTGTTGGTTACATCATATCCCGATACTATATATAATATTTTATATAGGTTATAAATCAATCAAATACATCATATCAAATCACATTGGTTCATCAACATTATCCCCATCAAAAAACAAACTATTGTTGATGGACAATGCCCCCTTGGTTGGACAGCGATGACGAAGGATTCATTGTCGCGAGCTTATGTCTCCATCGACGTTTGCCTGCACCTGTGGCCAACGGTGTCATGAAATTCTGGTGAGCCGAAGGCCTTGGATGGGACTCGGGGTTGGGGAGGGAATTGATTCACAGGTTGGTGGTTTGGAACATGGCTTTTATTTTCCATAATGTATATATATATATATGGGATAATCCGTCCCATTGACTTTTATATTTTTCAGAGGGGTTAAAACCACCAACCAGTTCATGAAAACATAAAGGCTTTAGCTGCAAAACGCTGTGAAGCATCAAGCCGAAGAACGGTTTCTGACACGTTGATTTAGTTTATTCGAGTTTTGAATTAAGCCAACTACTGGTTAGGCCAGGATAATGCACCGCTGGCGATGTTGTCTAAGAATGGGAGTTCCAATACAACAATACATATGGAGGTGTCCTATTGACAGCCAATAACTTCGATGATTTTGGGGTCCCCTGGCCTCCCTCCCATCTGTATAGTGAATTATATTTTTCGAGTTGTGCCGAGTAACGATGTTCCCAATGGTGACGACTCACTTTTCATTTTGCTCCTTGTGCGTGTCTGTGTGACATCTATTTCGGGGAATATTCATCGAATATACTCATGGAATTTTGAGTAATTATTATTCATGGTAATATTCATAGACCTTGGCAGTGCCATGGTCGATTTCTTCTGGGCTTTGGTCTCGAGCCCCAGGCTTTTCGAAACTGGGCAGATTGGGTGATGCTTGCATCGCCAGGTTGTTTCTGCAATCCGAAAAACCCTGCTGCAGCATTTCTTCGTGCAAAGCATGCGTACAAGGTGGTGCCCCCCGAGTTATAAGTTGGTTTATGAATGTTTATGAACCATAAAACTATAGTTCGATAAATCTACCATACACCTTATAGCTATTGTAGTTCAACTCCCAGCCCCTTTAACTTCGAGAACTTCACCAATTTCACCAAGTTGTGAACGCAGTTTCTAAGATCCGACACTGTCCTCCCGAAGCCCGGTTTTTCATGGTGAGATTGAGAGAAATCATCCCCGTTTACAATAATGGCCTCACATAATTCAAGTGAGTGAAATATAATAAATTTACCCTGATATTGGGAGATGAACATCTCCAAATTTACCAGGCTCTTTGAGTTTTCACCAGGCTACTCGTAGCAGGCTTTTGATATCTTCTGATCCATAGCTATGTTTGGAGCCCTTGCGATCCCACTGCCACCGGTGATGTGACAGGATCGATACAAATTGGTGCAACTGTATGACGAGGGGTATGCCAGTTGCAGCTTTGAGGGGTAATCAAAGCACAGCTGCTTGGTGGCTGAAAGGCGTGTTCGATTGAGTTTCAAGACCCCAATTGGTTCACTGGTTGATGCTTTAACGGTTTCAAGGCTTTTCCCACCCAGATGGGGGATTGTCAAAAACAGAGAACCTACATGAAAACCCCTACTACCGCTTTCATTGGTACTAAAAATAGTTGTACAAACCAGGGAATTCCAGTGGCCCAGCCAGCCATATTTCGGTTCTGGTTCATGTTGGATCAACCTTAAGGGTGGGATCCAAAAAAAAAGGGCCCCGGGTGCCCACTTCCAACACGTTGAAGCCAGCAATCAGACTTCAAATTGTTGAGGAACTCAACGCTCTGTACATATCTGTACATGTGCACTTCGCAGAGATTGGGGCCGCGGAGAAAAGGTGACGTAGGTTGATCAAGTGTTGCTGGGGTGCATGGGTAAACCGTTGCCCATCGTTGATCAGCTCGGGGATGATAGTGGGCCTTCATATCTTGGGGATTCTCATGGACTCCATGACGTTATTATCATATGAGAGTATTGATCATTATTGGGGATTATCATAACTTGTTAAAAATTAAACATATTTTATTAATAACAAGTACTTCATGGAATGACGGAAGGTTTTGAACACTGTTCAAGTAGATTTTGCCCTTCTATCCTGACTTGTTCGGAAGATGACCCCATCCCATGCCATAAATCTTCCAACGATATTGCGTTGGAAGGTTGATACGGATGCAAGCGGATCCAAGCGGTGGAATGGGCCCAACTGATGGTTGTCAATCCTCTATTTGAGGACCTTGCCTTCCCAATGATAACATTATTATGTTTCAAGCATTGTAGAACGAAGCGTCCCCACTAGATACGGATGGGGTTCTGTTGGGGTTTACCCCCTTGTAATTACAACAAACAGGGCGCCAGTCCATTCATTTTGGATCCGTTTTTAGGGTGTTTTAAATTATATAGTGCGAAGGGATCCCCCATTCATAGTGTTTTATGACCAGTAGCAGTGTATCCAGCTCTCCATTGTATCTGGTATATTTTGGAAGAACTACCCTCTGGTAATTTGACATAGCTGGCTTTTGGAAATGACCATTTATAGTTGATGTATATATCTTTGAAAAGAGGGGATTTTCCATAGCTACGTTAGTTTACCAGAGGGTATACCATACATTGGTGATACGAGTGATTGTTTTCCTTGGGGCGTGGACACGATCTTGAATGCGGTTCCCTGTTCGCATCAGTCAAGTTTTCCACTTTCCTTTGCATGTTTACTTCCCTTTTGCATCTTATTTTTGCTTTGCAGTCATTGCTTGTTGAACGGTTCTACCATTTGGTTGTTTAACATGGCTATGGAAAACGGTTCCTGTATATATATATATATATACATATGCATATGATTCTCCGTAGCTACGTTAAATTACCAGAGGGTAGAATCACATTCCACTGCCATGATCAAACAAGACACAACTCTTCAAGCAGTCCATGACGATTGATATCACTGATTTGTTAATAGGAAACGTGAAATGCAGGTAGTCACAAATTCACACATGACAAAAATGGTGAATCCATCATGGGCCATGAATCAATTAGATTTTCTAGTCAAATCATGAGAGAATCCGCGTTTTTTTTTTTTAATGGGGGGTTGACTATGGTTGACTTACATATAAATCATATAAGCAAGAAAATAATCAGACAAACACAGTGGGCTTGGAGTTGGGCTAAAAAAAGCCTAGCCACTGACCCACTGACCCTTAACGTTTACAAAAAGATGTGGAAAAGCCATGGGGAAACCCGTTCTGAAAATGGTCTACAAAATGCAGGGGGAAGTCCACATCGAACTGTTACAGGAGGGTACCAATATCCATCGTTCAGCACGTAGAACTAGCTTTTACCAGTCTAAAACACTCAACGTACTCTAGTAAAACCAGTTTTACTTAGAAAAACTAAGCTCATCTTCAGTACAACCGCTTTTACATCCATAGTGAAACACTCAACAAACTTCCTCTTCAACCAGTATAAGAAAGCGTAGCACGTGGTTGGATGCCCGTACGGTTTGCTCCAAAAGAATAGACATAGGGCACCCCAAAATCCACAGGAGTAATCCTCATTGCCCCCATCATTTGATATCCCCAATGTTTGATGTTAATAGCACATAACCCCCCAATTGAGTGGATAAACATAGAACAAATGATTATATTATATATATATATGTGTACACAGTGTATATATTTGTATATATATATATATATGTAGACACATATTAGAGTTTAATAAGCATACATAAACATTCACATTCTACAGGATAAACTCATTGCTTGCGAGTTTCCCTCAGCTCCCTGGGATCTGGTTTGTCTGCGCCAGGATCCATAGATGTGGCAGCCGGGGAGCCCAGCATAGCCCAGCCGGGGCGGGGCAAAATTGGTTACCCCATTCATATCTAATCATGAATTAGGTATGATCTATTATAATCTATTATATATTATACATTAATATATCTATGTGTATCATTAAACTATCCAATCATTGTACAGATGACTTTAGGATAATATTAATATATTTATAATATATGAATATAGATGATGTATAATCGAGTTGTTGCATTCTGAACCATGAGATTAAGGCAGTGGTAATGGGTACCTAATTTTAATCTATTTTCTTAGCGGTAACCCCATTGCCACTCCAGGCCGTGCTAGTCAGGTAGATCAGGCTACCAGTGGACGTTACAACGTCCACATTCGCTTGAGCAACTGAAAATGAGAATTGCGGAGGCCTTCCAAGATCAGAAGAATCAAGAAGAAAGGCTTAAGTTGGAGCAGATTTCCGAATCACTCACATTGCGTTTGACCGGTCAGCCAAGAAGCAATAGTGAAAGTGAATGGTTCAGATATGTCTTTCAGACCAATGTTCGTTCCTTCATTGTCATATTGCTGAAACTTATCGAGAATAAAGA